TCCCTGGTGGCACAGTAGTTTAAAGCGCAGCACTATGAAGCTCTCTGCAGCCACTGCAGCACGAGGTGGATCCCCAGCCAGGGAGCTGACCCACACGGCGCAGCAGACCTCTCCGGTCCTGCCCCCTGCTCCCTTTAGCAGTGTATTTTTGTCGATCTGCCTGTTCTGAAACCCACGCTGTCTCTGATGAATCCTCTCACCCCCCCACCCCACCCCCACCGCACCTCTGGCCTGTACCCCAGTTCTTGTATGCATAAATAAATTAATCTTTAAAAAAAAAATAGGTCAGCTGAGCAGGAAAGCTGTACCCCCCCACCCCCACATGGAATACTTGCTTTACTGCTGTACCCCCAGTCCTTTCCCTCCCCTTCTCTCAGGTATTTGAAGAGGGATATTTATTCTGTTCTCTTCAAACGCAGATCCCAACTCCCATGGGATCCTTTCTTCCTCAGGTTTAAAGTCAGACTTCAGTGAATCAAACAAGAAAAGCCCACAGAGAATTTTTTCATGAAGGAGCCTGGCAACATTTTGTAACCATTTTTCTGCAAAGGTTTCAGCTCAGAACTCCCTGTCCCGCCCACGCTGACAGGGGTCAGAGTAATGAAGTGGAAAAGATATGTTCACAATGTTGGCTGCATCTGCTCCCATCTCTAAGCAACCCAGGCCCTGATGCTGGGGTGGTGGCCCACAGACGCCGCCTCAGCCGCCGGCCAGTGTTTGCACTCCAGCTGACAAGGCGAGTTGCAGGCTTGTACAAATGCAAGGCATTGAGCAAACAGACCAAAGTGTGCCGTCCAGATGTTGGAGGGGGTGCAGGGGTGAGGGGGAAAGGGGAGGCTGGGGCTGGGCACCACACCTCAGGGGTTGCTCTTCGCCCGGGGAGTGAACCTGGCGCCCTCCCAGGAAGTCATCTCATCGAGTCCCCCTGCTGCAGGGATCTGGGAGAGCAAGTTCTGGCACTGGGCAGCCTGCAGGTATGGGACAGAGCCCTGCTCCTCTGAGTCTCCACCTTCCAGGAGAGGCTCACTCCTGCGTACAGTTCTCTGGAGCGCTGCAGGATGGCCTCTCAGTCTCAAGCTGGTCTGTGCCGAAAAGGCACTTTTGCTGCTAAGCTGGGACCCCCTTCTCCACCAATGGGGGTAATAGCTCACAGTCTCTGGTCATCTTTATTCCAGAACACATGCTCTAAAGTCCCAGGGGACTCAGAGCCCAAACTAAGGTTTCTGTCCCCCCAGATTACGAGCTTATCAGAGTAATTATTCATGGCCCCAGTGCACTTATGTAAGGGATTTGATTTAGGAAGCTCCTAAAGGCGACCCTGAAGATTCCTTTGTCCCCAAAATTAGAACATGGGTGGGAGACACAAACAGAAAGTGCCATTGTATTTGGCCTCTCTGGGAGTTGGTCCTGACAGTTCTGCTTTTTAAAGGCCTGGGTTGTGTCAGAACGAAATTCAGCTCTGCTCAGCAGAAGCCTCGGCCAGCCCAAGAACACTGCCCAAGAGCTCACTGTCCTCACTGACCTGCCTCCATTCCTCTTCCGGGGTCTGTTCTGGAGAGGGCAACCGCAGGGCTCTCATATGAGGCCTCATGGGACAGGGGAAATCCCTCAGGCTGGGAGCATGGTGGGAGCAAAGTGCTTAGAAGGGGCAGGGCAGTGGGATGGCACAGGTGGGTGCCAAGCTGCCTTTAGAAGGGACGGCGAGGGAACAGCCTCTTGGTACTTCTAGACCAGAGGTGGTCAACCATTTTCTGTAAACGACTACTAGAAACTATTTTAGGTTTTACAGGCCATGTGGTCTCTGTCACAACCTCTGTCCTTGGCTGCTAAGGCACAAAAGCAGCCACAGCCAGTAAGTAAGTAAGTGGGTGTGGCTATGCGCCAACAAAACTTGGCTCGCAAAACCCCAAAGGTCTGAAATGGACTGCTCCGAGTCCAGGAATGGGGACCAGGAGGACAAGCCATCAGCCTCCCCTAAACAGGCCCCTGCTCTAGGCGCCAATGGAATGGTTTTCTTGCCTAGTCACTACCTAGCCTTTTTTACCTCTTGGGGGGGGGGGGGCGCTAACCTTCCTGCTGCAGCACTGGGGCCCTCACATAGGCCACTGGACACTGATGAAAGCAATGGACGCACCCTCAGAAAACTGTCCTGCACCCTCCCCGCTCCCACCCATGCACAGGTTGTTTGCCTATAATTGTAAAGGGTGCACAGCACCTCCTGAAGCTTATTCATGGACCACCTAGAGGCCTAAAAAACCCTAGGGTAATCCAGAGAGCTAATTTCTTTGTATATGAAAGAGCTCTTAAAAAACACTAGAAAAAGATAAACAACTCTTTAGAAAAATAGACAAATGACACAAAGAAGTAATTCACAGAATACAAATGACCACAAAAAAAAAAGAGGTGGAAAAGATACTGTATCTCACACTAATAACTATAGCAGAATTGTAATTCATAATGTATCATTTTTAAAAAACCAGATCAGGTTATCTAATGTTTAGCAGATGAATAATAGGGTACTGGAAGAGGTGTGAAGAAAAAGACACTCTCATACATACTAGGAGGATAGCATCAGGGTATATAACCTTTAGAGAAGAACATTTGACAATGTATATTAAAATTTAAAACCTGCTGATCCTGTAGCCTAGCAATTCCATTTCCAGGAATTTATCTTGCAGAAAAAATATGTATAGGGATGTTCACTTCATCTGCACCATTAATCAGAAAAACTGGAACCTGACCCAAATGTCCATTAGTAGAAACTGGTTAAATAAATTATGGTACAGCTATGCTACAGAGTGACATGGGACTGTTTAATAACGAGGAAGGTCTCTGGAGTTTAACAGAGTAAGAGAGATTCTAAGAACTGCCAGGAAAAGATGTGAAAGGTACATTGTTAACTGAAAAAGGCAAGCTGCAACAGTATTTTTAAACAAGAGTTTAACATTGGTATATGCAGATTTTTTTAAATACAGAAGATATATTCTAACTTGAAGATAGGCTTATAGAATTTTACCATCTGTGATACTTTACATTTCTAAAATGCTGGCTTTTTAAAATAAAAATATTTTTTGTTTTATAATCATAAAAAGTAAAGAAAAATCATCTTTATGGGCCTACTAAATTCTCCTAAGTTTCCTTTTTTTTTTTTTAAGATTTATTTATTTACTTATCCAGAACTAGGGTATAGGCCGGAGGTGCAGGGGCGGTGAGAGGATTCACCAGAGACAGAGTGGGGAGCAGAACAGGCAGACTGACCAAGTACACTGCTGAGGGGAGCAGTGGGCGGATCAGGAGAGGTCTGCCACGCCATGTGGGTTAGCTCCCTGGCTGGGGATCGAACTCGTGCTGAATCAGCTGCAGCTAGCTTCTCGGTGCTGTGCTTTAACTTGTTGCGCCACCAGGGAGGGCCCCCTTAGAGGTTTTTCAAGACAACTGTGAGTTTATTTTAAAGGCTTCTCAACAGGGATTCATGTCATTTTGGTTTTAACCATCTGCTGCTTTCATCTTTTTGTATAGATTACGAATTCCTCAAGTTCAAGCACCATCTATTTCTTTTACCCCCCAAATTTAGAACTTCTAGGACACAGCTATCAGTGTGACTAAAATAATGGGGGTGATTTCCAGGTTTTGACTTTCCATTTTGATGAAAGAGTTGGTCGTTTTCACACTGTCAAAGAACAAACAGAACCATGAGTCCTGTTTCGCAATTTACACAACTTTGAGGGGTGGGTGTACTTTTGACAGTTTGAGTATCTCTCTTATGGTTTCGACACTTGTTTTCCCCTGGATATTTGAAAGGGAAAGGGAACACCTCCGTTTAAAAAAATAAAAAGACCTGATCAAAAAACGAAAAATGCACAAAAAGGAGTAAAAAGTAACTGTCTCCGACCACTGGAGACAAAGCAATGAGAAGCCCCTATCTGTGTCTGCTGCCCACACCTGAGAATGATACACACCACATGCATGGTGCTGACCAGGCCTGTCTCACCTAACACAAACTTCACTGAGCTGTTTTCCTGGGCCCAGGCCAGGCAGTTAATCATATACACCAAGGCAAGTTAGTAAGACAAAGCCTAGGAAGGGTGAAAGGGAGAGTTGAGCCTGGCCTGATCTCTTGCTCACCACCTGCAGATAAGGGTCACAGAGATACTAGTTCTCCACAAAGTCCTTACCAGGAGTCCTCAGGGCTCCCTCAAGGATAAAAAAGGCCCTTCGGAGGCCTCCCTGGTGGCACAAGGGGTTAAAGGGCACTATGAAGCAATCCACAGCCACTGTAGCACTAGTTCGATCCCCCACCAGGGAGATGACCCACATGGCGCGGCAGACCTCTCCTGACCCACCTGCTGCTCCCCACTCTGTCTCTGGTGAATCCTCTCACCACCCCTGCACCTCTTACCCGTACCGCAGTTCTGGATGCATAAATAAATAAATCTTTAAAAGAAAAGCAACAGCACATTCTGTGGTGTTCTAGTAGGTACTATGATACATGCATGCTCAGCATCTAGAGAAAACATCTCCCGGCCCACAGGGCTCTCTGTGCACTGGCATTTTGAAATCCAAGGAGATAGGTAGTCTATGCACTCCCTGAAGTTTTTCATTCAGTTCTGGACAAAGGCAATGTTTGGGATGGGAGCAGCTCCAGGGGGGTTTGGTTTTGGGTTGCACTGGTAGCCATAGCTGCCATGGAGAAGAAGGGAAGACAAAGTGGGCAGCAGCTTTTCTCTCTCTGAGCCTGTCTTTCCTGGACACAAGGCTTAAGCCGAGGTCAGCAGGCAGGAGATGGGCCCCAGGAGAGGGATAGTCATGCTCTGCTTCCTTTAGGCCACCTCACAAAACCTCCCCAGCCTGGGAGACCTGGGCTGGTTCTGCTGCCAGGAGTCTGCTTGGAATGTGCAGGTGTACGTAAGTGAATGGAAGGCAAGGAGATGGAAGGCAGTGAACTCAGTTCACAAGGAGGTTCCTTAACTAGAGATCTTCTTGAAAACACTGATACTTACTGTTAATGAAGTGAATGTCATGCACATCCCACCAAAGCCATTCAGAGACAAGGAGATGAAGATGAGCACAGACAGAGCTGTAAGGAAACAGAAAGCTCATGAGTAGGGAGCCACAGCTGGGCACCAGGCAGCACCTGGCCCAGGGCCTGGCAGGGAGCAGTCTCCAAACAAATGCAAGGTGAGGGAATGACAGGCCACGTGAGTGCTGCAACAGCCTCTTCCTCACCACCCTCCTCTTTTCCATTTTATGGAGTTGGGATCCTGGCAAAATGTGCATCCCTATCCTCCCCTCTCCATTAACCTGAGCAGCAAGGGAGAGGCTGCGAGGAGCTGTTTCCAAGCTGAAACCAAAAATATGGGTAATGCAGGCCTTCCTGGTGGAACAGGGATTAAAGACACAGCGCTATCAAGATATTGCCAGCCAGGCCCACCCTGGCTGGTGGCACTGCGGGTTCAGGCTCAGCACTGCAGGCTAGCTGCAGCTGCTTCAGTGCAAGTTCGACCCTTGGCCCCGGAGGGATCCACAAGGCACAGCAGACCTCTCCAGACCCGCTCACTGCTCCCCTCAGCAGTGTACGTCATCAGTTGGCCTGTTCTGCTCCCCACTCTGTCTCTGGTGAATCTTCTCACCCCCTGCACCTTTGTCTATACCCCAGTCTTTGTATGCATAAATAACTCTTTAAAAAAAATAAAATAAATAAGTTCTTGAATTGACAGCTCCACCTGAACAAGGTTGGGGACCAGGTGACTCCGACACCATCTTTCAAGTACTGGCCAGGAATGCCTAGAGGGGAGGCAGTTTGTGAGTTCTGGACACACGCCTGCATTCAGCTTGGTTCTTAGCACTTGTCTCCCAGGTTGGCTCAGTGAGGCCACTGGGGACTGGCAAACCAGCCGAGGGCATCAGTCATCTCAGTCAGTCACCTCATGAGGTGACTGACTTCTTACCTAACTGGTCACTTGAAAAGGGTATGGGCAAAGGCCCCTCTAACATGAGCAGTGAAACCAAGCCCAGCACAGCTTCCTGGAGCATTACCAGGCACTCCCTCCCCAGTCCCTGACAAACGTGGAGGAAAAACGTACTCACAGTTTGGGTTACTTGCTCCATATGCAATCATCAAGCAGGAGATAGCAAAGCAGGCACTAAAACCCAGCAGAAACAGTATGTTACTTATTATCACATGGTCTATTTTTTTGTTAACAGTGTTATTACCTGTTAATATTTACTATGTGTCAGATGCCTTCAGGAAATTTACATATATTATTTCATTTAACAATTCTAAGATACCTAGTTGGCCCTATATTACTGATGAGGAAAATAAAATTAAAAAAAAAAAAGGAGGCAGGGCCTCCTTGATGGCATAACAGGTCAAGGAACAGCACTATGAAGCTATCACCAGCCACTGCAGCAGGAATTCGATGCCCGGCCAGGGAGCTGACCCACATGGCACAGCAGACCTCTCCTGTCTCCCCAGCTACTCCCCTGAGCAGTGTATTTCAGTAGATCTCCTGTTCTGCTCCCCACTCTGTCTCTGGTGAATCCTCTCACCCCACTGCAACTCTGGCCTGGACACCAGTTCTTGTGTGCATAAATAAATGAATCTTAAAGAAAAAAATCTTTAAAAACAAAAAATGATAGAACTGAATCCTCCCAAGCCTCCAAGCTAATAAATAGGTGGCGAAGCTGGAACTTAATTAAGCCCCAGAGCTGAATCTGGTGAATACCGCAATGCACCCCCACCCCAGGCTTGCAGAGGGCAAGGCTAGGAAGCACAATAGTATGCCATTTCAGTCAGAGAATGGACGGACCCTCAGTGGCTCTGTGTGAATGCCTCCCACCTGCTCCACCTGGGCATCAAGAGCTCTAACTGCCGGAGAGCGAGTCAAACTGCCAGGAACCACTGCCCCAAGAGAGAGCGTTCCTGAGGGGACCAACTTGGGGAGAAGCTTGGCCTGGCAGGTGAGCTGCTTGGTGGGCTGACCCTGAGTATGGTAGACTAGAGCTTTAAAGACCAGGAGCTCACCCCGGAGGGTGCACAAGATGACCCACTAGGGTTTTTAGCATTGGGGAAAAAAGAACTTTCATAACTTTTAATTTAAAAAAAATTATTTATGTATACAGAACTGGGGTACAAGCCAGAGGTGCAGGGGCAGTGAGAGGATTCACCAGAGACAGAATGGGGAGCAGAACAGGCAGACTGGGGAAGTACACTGCTGAGGGGAACAGTGGGCGGGTCAGGAAGAGGCCTGCCATGCCATGTGGGTCACCTCTGGGGCGGGGACCGAACTCACACTGAAGTGGCTACAGCTCGCTTGCAGTGCTGCACTTTAACCCATTGTGCCACCAGGGGAGGGCCCTGTTTTTGTATTTTATGTATACACACACACACATTCTTAGAGCTTTATGATATATGTGTATCTGTGTATATACATATACATACATACATACATATACATACACACACATATACACACACACATGCCTTATGTGTATGTAATTTATAAATACATGACCTTACATGGGAGCTACACATTTAAAATCCTTTAATCTGATGGTATTATAAAGTCAATAACAAGCAACTTGGGCCTCCCAGGAAGGGCTGGGAAGTCTGCCTTTTTTATGCAGCAGCAGAACCTACTAAGCCAGTGGCAGATGGTATAGGATCTCCATCCTGGACACCTGCAGCAAATACCAGGATTCCCTCCACTGGGGATCTCAGGCCAAGGCACCACCTACCTGCCCCCTCCCCACACTGACCTGCCCAGTAGCCTGAGCTTCCTTGGGCCGTATTTGTCCATGACGATGCCCAGAGGCAGGGTGATGGCACTGAGCAGGAAAGAGCCCACGGTGAAGGCCAAGTTGAGCATCTCGTCCTGGGCTTGGCAGCTGAGCCAGCCATTCATCCAGCTCACGTCCTCATGTTCCGACTCTGTGCCATTGGTGACATTATCTGTGTGTAGAGAGAGGGAAACCTGATCACAGGGTCATGGCAGGGATTCTCAGATCACAGAAGCCAGTACTCATTCAAGTCATCCCACTGGGAATGACAGGGCTGCTTTTGAGTCCCTGGAAGGCTCCGGGTACTCCAGCAGGCTTGGCTGTCCATGTGGTCAAAGGCCCTTGAAGTGATAATGCAGTTCTTAATGTTTGTGGGAATCACAGACCTTTTGGGGAACCCAATGGAGAAAGCTATGATCTTGGGGGTCTCCCTGTTGGCTAAGGGGTTAAATCTCAGGGCTATCACTGCTTTAGGCTGAGTTTGATCCCCGGCCAGGGAGCTGACCCAAAGGGTACAGCAGACCTCTCCCGTTTGCCCACTGCTCCCCTCAGCAGTATATTTCAGTAACTTTGTCTGTTCTGCTCCCCACTCTGTCTCTGGTGAATCCTCTCACCCCCCACACCTCTGACCTACACCCCAGTTCTTCTAACAAAAAAACAAAACTCCACAATTAAATCACTCAAAAAAAAAAAAGAAAAAGAAAAGAAAAAAGAAAGAAAGAATTCTATATACCTGCTGCTCCTCAGAAAAAGTACAAAGATTCATCTTGAGCACAATTTCAGGGGCTTCATGTTCCTCAGGTTGGGATTCCCATTCAAGAGTAACCGACACCCTAGAATACAGGCCTCAGGACAAAACCCTGGTCCTGGCTAGCTAGAAGCATCTCAGCTTTGTCCATGAAAAGCAACTGAAGCCAGCCTGTCTGAGGCAGACCCCAGACCACTTGGGAAGGGCAAACACTTGGTCTCAACTCAATGCCTGGCTCTGTGAACCCAGGTGAAGGGTGAACCTCTTTTGCTGCTAAGGACGGTTGACTTCCCAAATGCATGGTCCACCTTGTTCAGGTGCATTTTTTAATATATATAATAGTTTATTTTTACATCATTTTGTGCCTTTTCCATCTCAGTTGTAATCCCCATGGGCATCCCATCACCAAATCACCCGTGTGCCATCACCATAGTCCAGTGCACTTCCCTCCTCCCACTGTTTTTGATCCCATTCCCCACTCCACCCCCATAAAATGTCTCCGGTATATAGTTGCCCATTATTATTTTCTCCCCACTGGTCCTTTATGCTCTTGCTATGAGTGAAGCCATCTGGTATTTTCCCTTTTCTTTCTGGCTTTTTCACTAAGCATGATCTCAGGTGCACCTTTTTAACTCTTCCTACTGCGGTCATTGCATTGCTGTCCCCTGTGGCCACACCTGTGTTGTTATCCCAGCCCTTAATGGCGCCCTCCAAAGTCCACCTAGTACCAAGACAACAAAAAGAAGGAAGAAGAAGTGCTGTGGCAGCTGCGGGCAGGGGGTGGGGAAAAGACCGGGACACAGCGAAGGGCCTCTCCTCCCTGGGACTGCTAGTTCGCAGATGCTGACTAATCCTGCAGCAAGCGTGGTTAGACGTGAGGTCACAGCGGGAGCGGCAAGGAAAACCTCTCCAGATAACTGCATGCCTCCCCACTGCAGCCCTCTGGCGCCAGGGTTGTAAAGCTGAGGTCTGCAGAAGCCTGCCCAGGCCTCTCAGGGCTGCCCCAAGGTCACAGAAGAGGATGCCCCTTGGGGGAACCATGCTGTATGCCAACCTCCAAGCCCTGCTGGGGGCACGGTGATTGAGGGTGAGTTGCCAAGCCCTGGCCTCTGGGTTCCAGTTTTGGTCCCTTCACTTTCTACTGGAATAACCTTGGTGTAGTGACTTCATTTCATATTATCTCAATCTCTTTATCGAAAGAAATGGTCATAGGGCCTCTCTGGTGGTGCAGGGGTTAAAGATAGCACTATCAAGCTATCACCAGGCACTGCAGCATGAGTTTGATCCCCAGGCAAGAAGCTGACAGACGTCTCCTGACCCGTCCGCTGCTCCTCTCAGCAGTGTCTTTCAGTAGATCTGCATGTTCTGCTCCCCACTTTGTCTCTGGTGAATCTTCTCACCTGCCCCCTCCCAGTACCTCTGGCCTACACCCCAGTTCTTGTATGCCTAACTAAATTATTCTTTAAAAAAATAAAATAATTTTAAAAATGGTCATGATGCATAATTAGTATCTACCTCCTAGAGCTTTGGGAAAGATAAAGGAGAAAACCCAGATTATATTCTATAGCTCACACAATGTAGGAAGTGCTCAACAGTTATTATTATTACATTATTAGAGCCTTGGGAAGGGGGTAACGGCGCAGCTGACTGGCAGCAGAGCAGAAGCACCCGGAGCTGCCTGGCACACAGAGGCAGTGCCTGTGTGTTTGGTGACTTCAATTGGGTCCAGTCTCCAGCTGGGCTAGGGGCCTTACAGGACAGGGACTGTGTTCTGAACACCTGTGCCCCCGGTACCTTTCCTAGGTCCTGGGGCACAAGAGTTGTTTTTTGAATGAATGAAGCAATAGAATCTGATCACCATGGCCAAGAGGATCAAAAGAGAAGAAGGGAAGCAGGATTTTCAGAACCAAGCTGAAGATGGAGGGAACTGAAGATTACAGCCACAACGTTAACCTCCACGTCGCAGAAACAATACGGCGATACCTGTGGTTCCCCGGCTTGCCAGCCCCCCTCCATGAGACCTGCTCTACCTTCCAAAAGAGGCTCTACCACACCATTAGCCCAAACACAAGCAGGGTCGTCTGAGCCACTAGGACCCAGATCAGAACTGTCACTCGCGCTGCCTAGGCTGGCAGGCTTGAACCGCCCACCCACTGTGGGGAAGCTTGAAGATGGGGCTGCTTCAGAAGCTGGCTCCGCAGCAGCAACAGGAACTATGGTGGGAGAATAGGGTCTCTACACAGCAATGGCATTTCCAGGTCAGTGTGCAGGGACAGGCAAACTAGCACTAGTGTAGCAGAGAGGGTGGGTGAGCAGACACCTAAGGCCTGGACCACTGGCTGTGGCCACCAGGGTCTGAAGACCCTCATCACACTAGGAGACACACTGTCACTCCAGGGCTGAGTGCTGTTGCTGTAGGGTCAGCTGCTACAGGCTGAGAGGCCTCACTGACCGGGCTGGAGGGAGCCAGGCAACCTGTCTCTGCTCCCAGGCCCCAGGGCGTCCCTGCCCCCGAGAGAATCCTGACTGGATCCCTGAATCCTGACTGGACTCCCTGAAAGAGGGAAATAAAATGCCAAAGCAATGTATCCAAAGCAATCTGCCTGATTTGCTCTACGTGAGGATGGGGGCGGAAACATCTTGAATTGTTTACAGATAGGGTCAGCGTTGTAACTAGACAGGGGGCCCAGGGAGAAGAGAGGTCAGGGTGGAAGGAAGAACATCTGTCCCTCCTGTCTTTCATCCTGAAGCTCTACACACAGGAGCAAGGACCTTACACTTCGGGCCACCAGCCTTCCCTCCCTGAATACATCCCTGCCAATGGCACCACCTGGCCCTCTGTTCCCTCCCTCAAGGCAATGGTGAAGGTGGGAACAGCTGGGTTCTAGGGGCTGCAGGGCTTCTGTGTCCTGGGAGCACTACCAGAGTCTCTCTCCCTCCTGGGGGGAACTAAAACTTAAGTGAGCCCAGCAGTTTTGTTAACAGTAAACAACCCACACAAAAAGGCTGAGATCCAGCAGATGCCCAAACACAGTCACGCCCAACCTGCTCCTCTCCCTCTGTCTCCACCTGGGCCGCTGTGAGCCAGCAGACACACAAACAGATACGCAACCAGGAAGCACCAAGCCCTGGGGTGCCCCTCTGTGCCGCCTAGGGCTCAGGCCTCACCCCAGTCCAGCCTGCTCTGGCCTCACCTGTACCTGTTTATTAAACAGATGCCTCCACAATGGGCAGCCAGAGTGGCCTGGCCCAGCCCAGACAGGGAAGGTGACTCGAGACAGGCAAGGAACTGGCGAAGCTTAGTGTGCAGGGAACAGGCAGCTTAGGAGACCCAGGGGCAGGGAAGAGCGAACAATGCCTGCACTGTTCAGCCCCACTCACAGAAGACTCACACACAAAATCTTTACAGAGAACTCCAGGAGAAAAGAGGGTGTTGTGACCCTACTCAGGCTCCTCTGTCACCCCTCGGTCAAACAGGGGCTCCCTCTAACCCAAGAACAAAAAGGGAGAGGGCAGCCTGCAGAAATAGCTGGCAAGATGAGGCCTGAGGGAGCAAAGGGGCACCTGGCTGGAGGCCTCTAATTACTGAGAAGCTGCCTCCTCTGACAGGCTCCTTCCAGACCCGCTCCCACACCAAGCACCAGGCAGGCCCCGGCCCTCCCTGCTGATGGTCCCTGCCCCAGGATCTCCTGTCTCTCTCAAATCCTTGTCTATCCGGCAACAGGAAGCAACATTTCAGTCCAGCAGGGGGGATGTAGGTAAGAGGTCAACCTCAAACAGCAAGTAAGAGGCAGAGATCATTAGAGGGCCTGACAGTCAAAGCAAGCTGTCCTGGGCAGGCCAGGGCTTAGCCCAGGAGCCGTGTGCACAGGGCAGCTGGGTGTAGTGACCACTGGGTTCCATGTTGTTGGTTCCTATGCACTAAGACACTCCACCTCCACTCCAATTTTTCTTTTTCTGGTGTAAAAGAAGGCCAGAAGGAGGAGAGGATTCACCAGAGACAGAGTGGGGAGAAGAACAGGCAGATCTACTGAAATACACTGCTGAGGGGAGCAGCGGGTGATACAGGAGAGGTCTGCTGCACCATGTGGGTCAGCTCCCTGGCTGGGGATCAAAGTCAGACATGGTGGTGAAAGCACTGAAACTTAACCTCTAGGCCACTGGGGCGGCCCTCCACGCCATATTCTATACCAAGGTGCCAGAAGGCCTCAGGGCAGGTAAGTCACTTGCTGGAGGTCTTAGAGATGGTTTGTTGGGAAGCTGAACTTGAATCCAGAATGTCAGATTCTACTTCAAAGCTCCAGCTTTGACCTTCAGCTGTATTACCTGGGAATTACCTGAGAAAATGCTGAGAGAGTAAAGATAGGACAAGCCACACCAGATGGACCTTCATGACACCTAGTGGCAACAGGGCTGCCCTGAGACCTTAGCATGTGGCCCCTGAAAGTTAACCCAAGTGAGACAGGACCTCAGCGGGACACCAAGAAGTCAATGAAGCCAGTGGATATGGGGGAAGGAAATCAGGCCCTGAGATGGGAAGGAAGAAGCGTTGATGGGAAGGTCTATGGGCACTCATTCCTCTACGACACAACCTGAGGCTGTAGGCATCAGCTTTTAGACCCTCTTGGCCATTGCTACAAAATGTTTTCATTTTTTTTTAAAGATTTATTTATTTATGCATACAAGAGCTAGGGTACAGGTCAGAGACAGTGGGAGTAGGGGTGAGAGGATTCACCAGATCAGGGAGCAGAACAGGTGGATCTACTAAAATACACTGCTGAGGGGAGCAGCGGTTGAGACAGGAGAGGTCTGCTGCGCCATGTGGGTCAGCTCCCTGGCCCAGAGATAGAACTTGTTCTGCAGTGGTTACAGATAATGTCATAGTACTGTGCTTTAACTTCTTGTACCACGAGGGAGGGCCCTAAAATGTTTTCATTTAAATACAAAGTAGGGCCTCCCTGGTGTAGCAAGGGGTAAAGCACAGAAATATGAAGTTATCTGCAGCCACTGCAGCACAAATTTGATTCCCAGCTAGGGAGCTGACCCACATGGCGCAGCAGACCTCTCCTGTCTTACCCTCTGAGGCTCCCCTCAGCAGTGTATTTTAGTACATCTGCCTGTTCTGCTCCTCACTGTCTCTGGCCTATACCTCAGTTCTTGTATGCATAAATAAATAAATCTTTCTAAAAATCCAAAATAAACTGGGGGATGGATGGAGTTAAAACATTCACATTCACAGCAATAAAAGCAAATGGTAGTTCTAAAAAACTATCAACCACTGACCTTTGGGTTTGGGAGGAGCCAGGAATATCTCCACATCTATGTCTTCAAACCAGTATGGTGGGGACCAGGGCTGACCCTGCTTTGTTTCAAGGTAAGGAACACAATTTCCCTCCCATCATCACCACAGGTACAATGCCTGCAAGGGTCAGGAGTACAGAACTGGGGCCCCTTACAGAGTCCAGGGCTGGGCTGGACTGTGGCTTCCTTGGGTAGAGCCCAAGTGTCTCACCATCGCCCCCACCTTACCTAGTCTCCAGAGATCCAGCATTCTAAGGGGTGAATCTGAGCATTGAACTCATCACTTATTCCTTCATTGAGAGTAAAATCCAATCTCCCCAGTGTCTGCCCAGGTCATGCAGGCCCTGCGCGCCTTCCTACCACTCCAGTCATCTCCACTAGTCCTCTGCCTCTTCTCACCCAGTGTGCAGTCCACCTGAAAGTACTTTGGAACTCCTGGCCCACTCTCTCCTGACTCACCCCTCCTAACAGCTCACATACTTCTGCTTAAACATCAGTTTGTCAAGTAACTTTGCCCTAGATGAAGCATTCTAATTCCTGGCACCTTGCTGTTTGTGGAGAACAACATTAAAAAAAAAAAAAAAAAGATTTTTTATTTATGCATGCAAGAACTGGGGTGTAGGTCAGAGGTGGGGGGTGTGAGAGGATCCACCAGAGGCAGAGTGGGCAGCAGAACAGGCAGATTGAGGAACAGTGGGCCAGGCATCAGAGGTCTGCTGCCATGTGGGTTATCAAACTTGTGTTGCAGTGGCTAGCAATAGCTTGAGAATCCCTGCACCACCAGCGAGACTCTAGATTGTGGAGTACAACTTCAACTTGGAATCCTGTAGGTCTGTTTGTGATGACTTGTAGTGGCAAACAGCAGACTCCCACTGAGGCAGCCCAATAAATGTTCACTGAATGTGTAGGCTATATGAAAGAGAAGATTAAACACCCACAGGTAGCCCCCTGAGTTGACCTTGTCCAGTGGGCCACCAGATGACTAAGAAAATTAAGGAGATAGGTGTGGGAGTTACAGCAGCCATTCAGGGCCAAAAGGACACCATATGGAGAAAGCCCCATTCCTCCCAGGCTGGGGGTCCAGTTGGGGTCCTGTTGACACCAGCCCTATGTTCTCAGGCTCTGACATCAATCCTGATTGGCTAGCCCGTGGTAAAACCAGTGAGGGGTAACAGAGAAATAAGCTGTTTCTTTCCTTCTCCCTCCTCACCAAGTTGGAACCCAGCACCATGTCTGTAGCAAGATTCTGAAAAGAGTTCTGAGAACCTTTTAGCAGGTTCAGGCAAATTTTCTTTCAAGAACAAACCAAAGCATCAGTCCTAAAAGCAATAAAAAGCTGATACATCTGCACCTCAATCAGCTGTAAGCAGATCAGCTTAACATAACTGTTATTCAATCAATCCAATAAATGAGCTAGCTGTTCCTCTGTTATTCAGCTGTCCACCAAGTTTGAAAATGTTAGGCCCAAGCAGAAACCTTGACCCTAAAATCCTCCAGGCACACCCAGTTAGGTGAGGCATGGAGATTCCTGGTCCAGTAAGACAGCAGGTTACGTAGACTCCAAGAAGCAAGGAGCAAGAAGGCCAGAGAGATAAGATGTGTGAAATCAGCAGCCCGCCCAAAGAGGATGCTGGGTCAGCAGGCTGCCAGATAGTCAGAAAAACCAAAATCAGAGGCATGAGCAAAGGCACGTGATAAGAAGTTGATGTTCAACCCACAATCCTGACCCTTCACCTTCACTTTGGTCTATGGGAGGGCCAGGCAAGCCTCTCAAGGACTAACGCACCAGCTCAGCACAGTGTCTGTATAGTCTGTGGGTCTCCTCCCACTCAAATGGAAGAAGAAGTCAAGGTTGAGGCAAACGTGAAGTAACCAGCCCCAATAGTGCCAACACCACAAAATAAATTAAGTCTCTGGGGAAAAATCTGTCCCTCCAGCACTATAGTGGGTGCAAAAAAATTTGACCACAAGAGTACATCAATCTGGGTGAGATGCTAAAAGTTTCCTTTGGGATGAAAATGTTTCATTTTTAAAAACATTTTTAAAGGGTCCTCCCCTGGTAGGCGCAACGGGTTAAAGCACAGCACTGTGAAACTATCTGCAGCCACTGCAGCACAAGTTTGAGCCCCAGCCAGGGAGCTGACCCACGTGGCACAGCAGACCTCTCCTGTCTCTCCCGCTGCTCCCCTCAGGAGAGTGTTTCAGTGGATCTGGCTATTCTGCTCCCCACACTGTCTCTGGTGAATCCTCTCACTCCCCGCACCTCTGGTCTGTACCCCAGTTTGTGTATGCATAAATAAAATTTTTTTTAAAAATTCAAAAAAAAATTTTTTTTTTCATAAAAAAAAAAACTCTGTTCAGCATGAGAGAGCCCATTAGGGTCACGAGCAGGAAGGGTCATGATCTAAAAGGAAGCAGTGAGAGGGAGGAGAGGAGGAGCCAGACTCTCCAACCTGTTCCTTCCAGAGTCACTAATCTCCTAACATCTGTTGGACAAAGCAGAAAGCTTATTCAAAGGTCTGAGTGAAACTCCTCTCCCAAGATTTCTTGCTGATGTGGGGAAAGGTCTGCCAAGAGCCCTTAAGGCTAATAGAAATATTTCTGAGGCCAAAGGTGAAAGGTTATAAGTGATATACTCTGCCCTCGCTTGCCTTCCCTTTCTCCTGCCCTTAACCTCGCCAGCAAAGCTTCCCTAGAGACTGAAACACTCAGGAATCTCCTAGGAAGGTCAGAGAAGGCAAACAGGGCGGATTCTACACAGAGTTACAGGCAGCATGAGCTGATCCAAAGCTTCCTCCCAGCTCTCAGGAGGAAGCCTAGGAAGAAAAGGCATGTCAGTGGTACTGGCATCAAACCTGGGTGATCTCCATCTAAGGGAAACAGGCAGGGAGGGGGCTGGCAGACAGGCACTGAGGAGAGAGATCACCAAGTACAATCAATGGCAGCCTCTGTTGGGAACAGAAAGGTAGAGGCTGTGGACCACCTGCATCCCACTCTCACCAGAACCTGCTGACCCTAAGTATCGAGGATCCTCAATAGAGGGTGGGGATGTGTGTGAAGGTGGGGGCGCCGTCCTTCCGGTAGACTTTCCTTCTGGTAGGCTCCTCGCCTGCCTGCTGCATTCAGCAGCACTAATGGTGTGGCAAAGTGAAAGAACAGCCCTGCTCATTTCCATAAAGGCTCCCCTGCCTTTCTTCCTCTCTCCTCCATTGCAGTTAGAAGGCCACTGAGATGGTTCCCACAGCCTGGGAGAGGAAATGTCCTTTAGGAAATCAGAAAGCAGCAAAGACAGACCAAAAAATCCTACCCAACAAGTCCTTAAGAGACTCCATGATGGCCTAAAAAAATCGAGATTCTAGATCAACCCTTCATGGGGTGGAGGCCAAGCCACTTCCTCTCTCTGGTTGCACCCCAGCCACTGAATCAGGAGTTCCTCTTTCTTACCTCAGGGAGCAACATGTTTACTGCAAGGCAAGTGTTGTGCCAGGCCCTGGGAGAAGAGTCCAGCTACACTCCTCACTGGAGGAAAGAACACTCTGGACTTGGTGCTATCAGTTCCCAATTGTGTAGTCTTGGACAGATGAGAAAAATCCGTCTGGGCCTCAGTTTCTACATCCACAAAAGGGGACAGTGATATGGATCCAATGGGCTCTTGCTAACCGGGAGGCGCTGTGCAGTGAAGTGGTACTGCTGGTTGGTCTTCACCGCCATCCGCCCTGTCTCCCAAAGCCCCCCTCCAGGAAAGCACCGCGAGCCCAAGGCCCTGACCTCACCTGGCTGGGTACATAGGTAGGAGTAAAAGCCCTCCGACTTGAGCATGATGAGCAGCGAGCCCCAGCCCAGGAGGACTGCCGAGAAGAGGAGGTTCTCCACCACGGCGGTGCAGGCCATCCACCATCGGCGCCGATGGGCAGTGGCGAGGGTGGGCGCCATGGCGCGGCTCGGCGCGGCTCAGCGCGGTGGCCCGATCCGGCTTGGCAGCCACCTGCGCACAAATCTCGGCGTCAGCAACCAACCCAGTCCGGCCCGAGCGGGCAACGCCGGCCGCTGCCGCAGCGCGCGGAGCTTGTCACCCCTCGGCGGCGCGGGCTGTAGATGCGCGCAGCGAAAGGAGAAAGCCCAGCCGCCCTTCCCCGGACCTGGGCCATCCCCTATCTCACCCCTGTCGCTGCCTTAGGCCGCCGGAGAACAGTTCTCCCCCAACCGCAAGACTTCTCCCTTAGCTGACTCAGAGGTAAACTGAGGCACGAAAGCAGGAAGAGACCAACGCATGCTCAGGGACGTGGAACTGGTGTTTGCCCCCAGCAGGGCAGATGTAGCTTGGGGGCTAACAGGGGAGGCAGCCCGAGATGCTGACACCAGGTAAGGGGCATACCTGGGGGTTGCCAGTCCCCTGGGAGCCTGACTGGGGCCCTCCCGCCCGACCCCGAGACCCTTCCCCAGAGCCGGTGGCTTCAACCACAAGATCAGCGCACGGAGCTCCGGAACGACCCGCCCACGGTCCGCTCATTGGCCTGGCCGCACAGGAACTACTGAATCATTGGCCACCGTTCAGGTCGCTAGGAGCAGCGGCCACGCGAACCCCGCATGGGAGAAGCAAAGCCGGTTCAAACCGGCGGCGCGAGTCAGCCGCGCGACCCCCTCGCCGGGCCATTACCTCAGTTACGAGCCCGCCGCCATGGAAGCGCACCCCGCTCCCTCCCTCCCCTAGTCCCTTCTCTACTCGTCATCTCTCCCCTGGCGACTCCTTATCCATCCAGTTCCTTCCCTCTCAGCTTCACACATCTTCTCCCCAGGCTCCCGCTAGTGCCGCTGTGGTCCACCCTCGCGGGAGGCCCTGGTCCCGGAGTCCCAGCTCACCCGGCTCCCAGTGGTGTGTATCGGGCCCGCCGGCGCCTTTTCTGCCCCCTTTTATTCCAGCCCTTTTATTCCGACCCCGAGATGAAAACACTGCCGCGCGCTGATTGGCTGAGAGGGGCTGGAAACAGGCGTCGCCCAATCCACTGCCACCCGCCCGCCCAGCGGCAAGCAGAAGCCGGTTCCGGCCGGACTTGGAGACAAACAAGAGAGCTGGGGGGGCTGGGGGGCAGCATCGGGCCGTGCCTTTGCTCTGCCGCTTTAAACTAGAGTCCCTGCCGAGCTGGGAACCCCCAGGGTGTTGTCTCTTCGCCTCGCCAGAGCGCCACCCCGAAGCCCCGCCCGGGGTTGATACCCCGGCTGGGTGTCCGGCGCCCCCCGAACTTCTCCAGCTGCAAGCTTCCACTTCTGAGCTGGAACACCCAGCTGAGCTCCCCACTTTGTACATGGCTCCGGCAGGCTACTTAGTCCCCGGCTTCGCTCCGCCCTGGGCACCATGCCCCGATGCTCTGGCTCCCCGTGGGTGGTTCTGCTCCCGCCGCCTCCGTTCCCTCCTTCCCACGCAATGCTGTCGGCTGCCTCGGGCTTTGTATTTTGATTCTGCACTCTTGGGCTCCTAGTGTCCCCCGTGCAGGCGTCGTCTGCGCATCCCGGATAAAGGATCACTGTCCGGGGGTGGTGTGCCTCTCCCTACCCTCCTAATTCATCCCCGCCTCTTGGAAAGAGACTAAGCTGGCTGCTTAGTCCCCGGAAGGTGTCACTTGGGAGATTCTGAGGTGGGGGTCTGGGACGTGTTTGTGTCCCAGGACCGTGTCTTCCTGGTCCCCGTTCCTGCTTCCCTTGGTCCCCTCGGAGACACTCCCCAGCCTCCACACAGACTGATCACGGTGGTGCTCACCGCCAGAGTTGACCATTCCATATCCACTGTCCTGAGCCTCCCTCCACCCCCTTCCGCCTCGTTCCCGGACATCTTCAGCTAAGGATCCCCTATGTAGGGTGATGGAATGGGCAGCAATAAACTGCGAGCCTTAGTCGGACTGCCAGGAAAGAGTGTGGAGTGGGATTCCCAGCCTTATCATCCCAGCTGGACCTGTCAGGGAAAACTGCCAGGAGAAGTGAATGGAGCCCGGCACTGGAGGTTCAACTGCGCAAATGCGTCTCTGGACCGCAGACCCCACTTTAACCCCTGAGCATCTTCCGCCCTGCCAGTCCAGCTTGACCTCCCTGGCAAGCTCTCGGAATTGGCTTTTTGCCCCAGGGTTCTGGAGTCACTCTTTATCTAGCCAATTTCTTTCCTCTCATATTCACATATCTTCTCCGTTGGTTCCATTAGTGCAGCTTTTGTCCAGGGCCCAGGTTCCAAAGTCTCGGCTCACCCGGCGGTACTAGTGTCCTAGCCTCCTGGGGCAGCCTGTTCCCCCCAGACCGAGAGCGCCCTCTGCCGTCGGGAGCCCTCTGCTGGCACGCGCCCTCAGAGCGCGCCTGGAGCCAGGAACTTTGGAAAGGGCTAGTTGTTATATACTCTGCATACCCTCACCCACTTTACGAATGCCATCTTCCCTCCCTCTTCCTAGAGTCACCTGCTAAAGGGTGTCTTCAAGGTAGCAGTTCCACACACATCTCTGAACTATTATAAACACCTCTCAAAAATAATTTACTCCTTATAATGGACCAGGCGAGAAAATAATAAGAATAATGAACAGCCATATACTAGAGACATTTTGTGGGGGTGGAGTGGGGAATGGGACCAAAAACGGGGGGGTGGGGAGGTGGGGAGGAAAGTGCACGGGATTATGGTGATGGCACACGGGTGACTTGGTGATGGGAAACTTGCGGGGATTACAATTGAGATGGGGAAAAAACGTACAAAATGATGTAAAAATAAACTTATAAAATAAAAAATAATAATAATTTACTCCTCCCCTTCTTCCTCCTCAGCCCCGCTCCCCCCACCCCCAAAGTGTCTGCTTATTCTCTCAGATAAGCACCACGGTTTATTGACATTAGCCACTGACATTTTTTCAACAAATATTTGTTGGGCACCTGCTGTTACTGTTACTGCTGATCCTTTACCTGATCCCTGCAGTCATACCTCCTATTTATCTAATCTGCCCATTTGTGTCCCTAGGAGTGCTACTGCTGTTCACCTGCCTCCAGTGTCGGTCCCTTAAATCCATGTCCCCTTTCTCCCAGTGAGCTATGAGAAGTGTAAAACTGACCTTGGTATATCTGACCCTGCTAAAATCCTTCAGAAACTCACGACTTGCCCTGCAGGATAAAGTTCAAGTTCCCCAACATGACCTCCACAGGCTCCTCCCTACTGGGCTTTTCCTTCCCGTGAAGACTGATTGAACTGCCTGGTCTGAGAGTCACTGGTCACGTAGAATTGCTTGTGGTTCCTGTACATGCTGTTCTTTCACCTCCGACCCTCAAGCAGAGTCCCTTCTTAGCACCTCCTCCAGGAAGCCTTCCCTAATCACTTCCCAGAGTACTCTCTACTTTGCTCCCTGTGATTATCTGTTTTTCTGTTTGTCTCTGCCTTTCCCATTGACTATGAACTCTTTAGGGGCATGACCTTTGTCTTTTTAAAAAATCTCTTTATAGGTTGTATTGTGAAGAAATAGAACAAATTTTTCATAGAAGTCTTAACTAAAAATTGCAATTATTGATGTAGAATAAAATGGATGTAAACATGTTTTCCTCTTTGAAGTTTGTCTTTTAGTAACTATAATTTCTTTTGTCTATTTTTTTTAAAAGATTTATTTATTTATTTATACAGAGCTGGGGTACAGGCCAGAGATGCGGAGGGTGAGAGGATTCACCAGAGACAGAGTGGGGAGCAGAACAGGCAGATCAACACAGTACACTGCTGAGGGGAGCAGCGGGCGGGTCAGGAGAGGTCTGCCGCACCATGTGGATCACCTCCGGGGCAAGCAGGGATCGAACTCATGGGGAAGTGGCTTTAGCTTCTTAGTGCTGTGCCACCAGGGAGGACCCTCTTTTGTCTATTTTAATTGTATTTATAGGCATAGGTTCACACCTGCTCACCGGAATGTTACCACACCACTCCCCTAAAGTACCCTTAATCCTTTACCATAGTCCTTGGGGCTCCCTGTACCCTTTGCTTCCACCTCTACCCATCCTCGCCCATTAATAACTTCAATTCTACAGTCAGATTTCTAGGGTTTGTTTAGGTTTAGCTTTGCCCATTTGTTTTGTTTCTTCATATTCCACATATGAGTAAAGTTATTCATTACTTGTCTTTCTCCTTCTGACTTTGCTTAGCAAATCTCCTCTAGCTCCATTCATGCTGTTGCAAATGACAAGATTGCAATTTTTTTCTAGTGAACTTTGTCTTACTCAGCTTTCTTTAATCAGTCCTTAATACAGAAATAAACATAAAACATAAGCATAATTTCAGTGTGTTGAATGAAAATATGAATAAACACAAAGAAGTGGAAGATACCAGTTTCTTGGGACAGGAGGCTCAACACTTGGAGAATGATGGTAATGCCAATACCACTTAACCTTTCTTGAGAGATCAAAAGCTACTAGGTGCTTTATATACTTTGTGTCAATCTCCACAATAATCTTGGCAGATGGGCATTATATCCATTTTTCAGATGAAAAGGTTGAAACCTTAAATAATGTCTCCACATTCACAAAACAAGTATGTTTGAACTGAAATGTGAACAATTTGAATTAAAAATCCAGTTTGGTACTTCTTCAGTCTTTTTGTCATGTTACCAGCACTCTAGGTGTGTCATAAAGAAACAAACCACTGGGGGCCTCCCTGGTGATGCAGGTGGTTAAAGTCTCAGGGCTATCTAGCTATCACTAGCCATTGCTGCTTCAGTTTAACTCTCTGCCAGGGAGCTGAACCACAAGGCACAGCAGACCTCTCCTGTCTCCCCACTGCTCCCCTCAGCAGTGTGTTTCAGTAGATCTGCCTGTTCTGCTCCTCATCTGTCTCAGGTGAGTCCTCTCACTGCCATCCTTCTCTACACTGGCCTACACCAGTTCTTGTATTCATTTATAAATAACAATAAATCTTTTTTTTATGTTAAACTTTGTAATCATAGAAATTCAAATTTTAAAATTTCTGATGGTCAAAACAAAAACTTCTACCTCTACAAGGATTTAACTTTTAAAATTTCATAATAAAGTAATGCATTACTTTATTGTGCTAAAATATACAGTTTTTAGCCTATCAGGTTGGGTGTGGGGCGACAGATACCACCATAGTTTGTGAGCATATAAAACCATGCAATTTTTTTGGAGGACAATTTAGAATAAGTTCAAAAATGTTTAATGTTCTTACCCCATTAACCAACAGATTCACTTTAGGAAGCTCTTCTACAGAAAAAGTTGTACAAATTCCACAAAGAAAATATGAACAAAATAAAATAAGTATACTGTATCATTTATTGTTTCAAAACAATTAAAAACAACCCAACTCCCCACACATAGGGGATGGTTTAACCTGTGTTATTTCTACATGATGAAATCTCATGTCTTTTTTTTTATTTAATAAAAAGAGGTAGCTTTATATTTACTGACATCAAAAGGTATCCAGGATACATTAAGTTAAAAGGCAAATTGCCAAACAGTATGCTTCAGAAATTCTCTTTTGTTTTGTTGTAAATATTTCTTTACAAGCACACACAAAAAACTTGGAAAGGAAGCACCTAAGCTGTTAAAGGGATTCTTTGAGCACTGCCATAGAAAGGGAGGTCACTTTTATTTCTTGACTAGGTCTAAAAAGTAGGTGAGGAAAGAATTCAAAACAAGAGCAACCCCTGGTGCTGCAGGGGTTAAACTCAGTGCTATCACCCCCATAACCTGATTCAATCCCTAAACAGGGAGCAGACCTCCCAGGTCTCACCCCAGCTCCCCTGAGCAGTGCTTTTCAATAGATCCACCTTTTCTCTCCTCACTCTGACTCTAGTGAATCCTCTCACCTCTCCACCCCCACTCCTGGCTTAACCGTCAGATCTTCCATGTGAGAAAAAAAAAAAAAAACAAGCTCAAAAGGCATCCAATGAAAGGTAAATCTATCTCTTAATTTATCAACCCAGACTCCTCTGAGAAGAGAAATCTAATTTTTTACTATACCTCCAATGTTAATAGTTAATAATTTTTAAGCAAAAAAACCCCAAAACATTGCTTTTTGTATTTTTAAAAACCTCTACCTAGTGAGAAAAGCAAAAAGAAAGTTCACTGTAGAAAATTGAAAATTATACAGAAGTTTAAGAAAATAAATATCAGATACAATCTTGTCTACCAGAGAAAAATACCAATTGATGCCTTTCCTTCAAATCTTTTTTATACACACAATATCATTTTTTTAAAAAAGTTTGTAAAACACAAACTCTATACAAAAAGAGAGAGTTCTAAATATGTATTTTAAGGCAAAAAAAATTCATAAGAAAGGAAACTTATTCTTTATACAACAATATAGCTTGAACATTTTCCCACATTAAATATTTTTGCACACACAACATGATTTTTCAGGGTTGTTTAGGAATCTACGTAAGAAATATTTATTTAACCTATCTTTAACCAGCAAACATTTAGGTTTTTTCCCATTTTAGAAAAATATTTTGCAAATGAAGAAGGGGGAAACTGCTTTTTGGGGTAAACAGGGTCCAAAGTAATAGAAAAAAAAGTTCCTGTAGTCATCTCTTTCCCCTTCCTGACCCCATCCTGCAGGGTCTCTGCCGGGCTTTCCAGAACATTCCCAGAGCACTGCCAGGACCCAGAGCCAACTGGCATCCAACCCTGACTGTTCCCTGTAGAAGGGCAGGATCTTTGGTATATCTGTCCTGGCCCTGCGATTGTTTTCCAGCTCAAAACACAATCTGATCCAGGGCTAATTCAGATGTACCCCCATCCATAGTCTTACTATTCCCCAGTGTCAAGGTCCTCAGGGCTCTGGGGGCCCAAACATAGGTGTAACATTCTCATATTGAGGTTCCTCCTGCCCTTCCCCTTCAGCAGGCTTCTGAGGGTCCTGTCCTAGCAGGCTACTGGTGGGGGCTGGCTCCTGGGCGCTCCCTGAGCCCTTGATGCTACCCCCCAGACCCCTGGTCACTTCCTCTGGTCTGGCTTCTGCAGACTCTGAGGCTCCAGTGACCTCTTCATGTGGGGGGGCTGAACCAGGACTCTGATTGGCAGAGCTGGAGGCCAGCCCCGGGCTGCCCTTGTTCCGACTCAGTGCCCTGCGTGGAGGCTTAGGGATGGCACTCTTGACTTTGGGCTCTGCCTGGCCTTTCTGGAAACTACCAAATCTCCGAAGAACAGACCTGACAGGGCCTTCAGATCCCCGGGGAGTCCCTGCCAGCATGTAGATCGTGGTCACAGAGTCTGAGCTCTCCTGGACACTGCCCTCAATGGCTTCCACACGCTCAGCCACTGTCCGGCCTCCAAGTGGGAGCCGGCGGCGGCTGACAGCAGAGTCTTTAGGGCTGGCAGCACCAGGAGGGGCATCATTCATTTCTGCTTGCTCTGAGCCAGCACAGTCCTCAGTCTCCGGGCCATGAGGACCTGGCTGTGCCCCCCGGGGCAATCTCTTGGGCTTTCGAAGTGGGCTGGAGAGCTCCCCTGAGCTCTGGTGATTCTGTGGTGCAAACTTGGTGCCTTCGGCGAAGGAGACCGATGGTCGCTTGGCCCTGGCTAGACTGGAAGTGCGTGGGATGGCGAAAGGTGTAGAGGCATCCTCAGGGGGAGGGAAGGGGCCTCCAGCTAGATTGGCCTCTGGCAACTCTTCTTGGGCCACAGGGACCATCCCTAGCAGAAGAGACACACAAGAGCTTGGCCAGAGTTGGGTGGGCCATCCTAATCCACGCTGCTCCTCCAGATCAGCATCCTCTGGAGTCCTCAGAAATGGGACAAGGAAGGGCCTCCCTGGTGGCTTAGGGGTTACTATCCCTGCTACAGCCTCGGCCAGGGAACTGCACACATGGCACAGCAAACTTCTGTCTGGCCCGCTGCTGCCTCAACAGGATATTTTAGTAGATCTGCCTATTTTGCTCCCCATGCTATCTCTGGTGAATCCTCACCCCTGCACCTCTGGCCTGCATCCCAAATTATTGACCTATCAGTCAATAATTTAAAATGGGGCAAGGGAGAGGGTGAGGATGCCAAGAGATGGGATGGGCAGGGCCTATCCAGGCAGACACTACCACTTCTATACTCTTTGAAATCATGCCACACTCTAACCAAGTAAAAACTCTTTCAGTGCCATACGGCTATCTCTCTCATCACTGGGCCTTTGTACACACTGTTCCCTCTTCCTGAAATATCATTCTCACCTCTCTAACGTTCACTTGGCTAATGCCTACAGATTCTGCTAGACTCAACTCCATTATCACTAATACTGAGTCATTTTCCCTGAGCCCAGTTATCCCTGATATGGCTGGATCAGTCCCTAGTGGTATGTCCCCATCAAAGCATGTATTACTGTGTTCTACCAGTATCTGGTTATTGTTCACCATTAATAAACTTGATGAAAACAGGAATCTGTCTAGTTCTTTCCTTTGTCCCAGAGCCAGAAATAGTGACTGGCATAGACTGGGCACTTGGTGCACAGTTACTGATGGAATCAAGAAAATGCTATTTGGGGCAGGGCTGCTCAGGGGGTGAGTGGCTACCTTCTTGGGGTGGGACGCAATAGGCAGGACCTTCGTCATCCACTCCAGACTCAGAATCAGAAGAGAAGGAGTCATCTGAGGCCCAGCCAGCAGAGGGAGGCTCGATGAAGCTGTGGTTGAAGGGGACCTCCGGGTCGTGGTGGGAGACTGTAAGGGGCTCAGATCAGGCACAGAGCCTGATGGGAAGCCTCTCCCATCCCAGGCCCTGACCCTCAGTTCCCACTTACCTGTCACCCAGGGAAGCTTGTGGCTGCTGAGGGAACCACAGGGGAGCACAGACCCCAGGCTGGTCAGTGCCCCCCAGACCTGTATTTTCATCCTGGACACAGCAGCTCCATCTCTCACTGATCTGAGGGTGTAGGAGAATGGTCAGTACATGGGCCCCTAGTGGGGGCTAAGTGCAGGCAGGAAAAAGAGCCAGGACCAATTCTGGTCCTGGGGTTACAGTGAGGGAAATAAGGTGACATGGTTTCTCCGTGCATGTCAGTGGTTCCCTATGACTACAGGTAGTATCCAAACTCTTGAGTTTGAGATATGGGCCTGGCACAGAGGACAGTATGACTCTAGAATCAAACAGATCTAGATAGAAGTTCTGGCTTAGACTTCACCAATCTGGACCTCAGTTTCCTCATCTGTAAAATGGGGACAATACTTATCTGAGTTGATTCCCCACCCCGAGTCCAGCACAGTGCCAGACACCCCCAAAATGCAGTTTTATCACCCTAATGGAGCCCCAGCACACCTATCTCAAGTGGCACCACCTCATATGGAACCTGTTCTTGTCCCCATTGCCAAGCTGGAAGTGACTGCTCCACTCAGTGCCATACTCTGTCAGCTTTTGTACATGTCCTCCTCATAGGGGAAGCGCATCTTCTCCAGTCCAGGCTGGAGAAGACAAAGGGGTTTGTGCATATGTGAATGTCCATACCACAGAGGAGGGTGTCATCAGGCTTAGTGCAAGAACTAGTCAGAGAGCATGAACCAAGTCCAGAAAATGGGGTGCAAGCTCCATGCCTACCAGCAACTAGCTAGGCCTCCTCAGGCCTCAGTGTTTTCCTCTATGAAGTGAGAATGCTAATCCTCCTCCCTTCAAGCTCTGCTCCAAATCTCTACTGTTGAGAGCCTCAGAGGAGTGAAGAAGTATAAAGAGATTTTGAAAAGGAGGGTCTCCTTGGTGGCGTAGGGGTTAAGTCTCAGGGCTAGTACCCTGACGGCCCCCCCAAAGGCCTGAGTTCAATCCCCAGCTGGGGAAGGGAGGTGAACCACATAGGACACAGCAGACCTCTCTGGTTTCACCTGCTCTGCTCCCCACTATGTTTCTAGTGAATCCTCTCACCTCCCACACCTCTGGCCCAATTCTTCTACACAAAAATAAATAAAATCTTTAAAAAAAAAAAACAGAGATTTTTGTAAAAGAACAAAGGTCTGTGCAAGCAGTGTTCTCCAGTTGCAGGCCCCACAGTTTTCCTCTTCTCTCAGAAAACCACATGTCTCTGCTAAACCACTGCTCAGATTCTTGTCACTCTCTCTCTAGGGGGTTTGAGGCTTAGTCTCTTCCCCTTCCTGCCCAGAGCTGCTCTGCTTCTGCATGTCCTGCCCACCAGCCTGCCTAGTGCCCAGTGCCCTGCTCATGCTCATGCAACTCAGAAACTCCCCCATGAAGGCTCCTGAGGAAACGCGGCAGCCGACCTGATATCTCCAGGCCAGGGCCATTGCCAACTGCTTCCTTCACCTCTGGCCAAGTATTTGACAAAGCCAGCCCTTCCCCACCCCTGAAAGGAGACCAGATTGAGGAAAGGACAGGCCAGTGTTCACCTGTCCTTGGGGTCCAGTCGGGCAGCCCAGCAGCAGCAGACACAGCAGACGATCCCCAAGAGAAGCAGTAGCAGAGGCACAAGGATGCCCGCAATGAGGGCTGCCTCCTGACCTCGAGACCCTGGGGGAGCAGGGGGTGGTCAAATACTGGGGCTTTCCTGTCTCCCATAAGTGTTGTCTCACCTCTAGCTCTGTGCACCTCCTCCCCAGAATCTTCCACCTGTAGGTCCTCCTCTCTTCTGAGAGATGTAGATTGTTCAACCCGGAAGCCCCTTTCTCCAGGCAGACTCCAGGCTGCTCTGTGCCCTCCTGATGGTGCCTGGTCTGTCCCCCACAAAATCTGGCCCCAGTTATCATGTTTTATCCCATGTCTACCCTGCCTAATAATTTCCTGGGCTCTGGCTTGGTTTCTCAGAGGGCTGGGGCTCTGGCACATTTCAGACGGCTGCAAAGCATTCATAAAGAGGTCAGGCATAGGACTATCTCTGAAATGGGCCCAGCCTCCATGGCGAGTGCTGTGCCACCAGAGCCTGATCTTTCCCTGGATACTGCACCCTGCACCCTGAACCCTCCTTCCACCTTACCCAGTTGGCAGGCCCCAGAGACAGGATGGCAGGATCCCTCTGGGCACTCACAGGGAACAGAGCAATTGTTTCCATGGAAGCCAGATGGGCATGAAATGTTGCAGCTGTGGAGTGACAAGGAGTGACAGGTGGGAGGCTGGGTGAGAAGGGATAGAGGTGGGCAGAGACTGGGGAAGGTAGATTTCTGGGTGTACTAATCCCTGCCCTTTATCCCCCCTCAGGCCAAACACCTTGGATAAGTCCCAAGCAGATTCCCATCCCCCCACCTCTGAGCCACATTCTAAGTACCCTGGCAGTGTTTGGGAGATCACTCAGCCTCTAAGCCAATCTTCCAGGGAGGCCATCGGAGAACTGCCAAACTGCCCCAGCTCCCAGTTCCCAGGGCACAACCCCCAGGGCAGTATACCTCTCATTATCTCCACCCTAGTCCCCCAGACTAATTTGAGATAGAATAAGCAAGAGGCCAAGGCATTCAAAAAAACAGCTTCAGGGTCTGCAGGTGTGATCCAGGCCCAGCCTGCCCCTCACTCTCTGGGCCTCTATCCTCTCATCTATAAGATGAAACTTCTTCCACTCGACACTACAGTCTGTCATATAGGAGGACAATCCGATATTGGTGACAGTGTTCATTAAACAATATTCATTGTTTTACGACCTAAAGACCTCAGGGAAACACCAGTAGGGTTTGTACTCTGCTGCTAAACAACTTCCCCATCCATTTGGAAAATGAGCATCACTCTGACCCTCCCTTGGGAGCAGCAGAACCCACAGCAGTTGTTCTTAGCTATAAGGATATGTTTTTTAGATCTGAGGCTGCTGGGTGTCTGGGAGGGAGAAGCCCAGAAAGAGAAGTTTAGAGAACAGACTACACAGGCTTCCCTTGTGGTGCAAAGGGTTAAATGTCAAGCACTATGAAGCTGTCTGCAGCCAGGCATTACAAATTCAATCCCCAGACAGGGAGCTGGCCCACATGGCACAGCAGACCTCTCCTCACCTGCCCGCTGCTCCCCTCAGCAGTGTACTTCAGTCAGCCTGCCTGTTCTGCTCCTTATTCCATCTCTGGTGAATCCTCTCACCCCCACACCTCTGGCCTCTACCCCAGTTCTTGTATGCATAAATACATAAATATTGCTTTTTTAAAAAGAAGAAAACAGACTACACAGAGGCCTAGGTCCCTGCCTCCCCCCACCCCCACGCCCCCCAGGGCCCTGGTTCTCACCTGGGCCCCCAATAGCCAGCGTTGCAGATACATTCCCCAGTCACAGCATCACAAGCCCCCTGAACACAGGTGGGGCAGGTAGAGCCACAGTCTTCCCCATAGGTGCCAATCGGGCAAGGGTCTTCACACCTGAGGTGAGGCAAGATTCATCATGAGGAGCAGGACAGGCCTGGTGTCATAGGGGAGGTCCTATCCACCTTCTGCCATGCTCCTGGACCTAGGGACCCAACTGTCTACTCCTCAGCAAAGAAGTTCAGGTGCCCACAGGGCCTTGAATCTGGGGCAAACCTAACAGGTGGCATTAAAGAGCCCTGGAAGAACAGGGCAGGAGATCAGAGTGGTGGGGAAGCTGGAAGAGAACCCTGCCCAGGAGCTCATCATCATCCTCAGTTTGGGCCAGGAGGCAGGCCTCAGCCGGCTGTGTGACTGTGTGTGTGGCAGGAAGGACAGCCAACCCAGAGAGGGCTGAGAGTCCTGAAGGATGGTGCAACCCATTCTGACTGCCTTACCTGAGCCCCAGCCAGCCAGGGTCACAGTGCTGACAGTGCCCGGTGTCTGGCTGACAGGCTCCCCCAAACCGGCAATGGGGGCACTGCTGTCCACAGCTCTCGCCAAAGGTGCCAGATGGGCAGGGGTGTTGGCACAGAGTCCCATTCCAGCCGGGCTCACAGGACTGACAGCTGCCTGTGTCTGCAGAGCACGGCTCATTCTGCTTGCAGTGGCCACAGCTGGGGAGAGAAGAGGCTCGTGAGCACACAGCCGGGGAAAGATGAGGCCCCCAAGGTGCAGAGCAGCCAGAGTCCGGCAATGCTGTTACGAGGCTGCTGGGAGTCAGGCACTGCGGAGCCTCAGTTTCCCACTGCTGAACAAAATAGAGTCTGGAGAGATGAACTCTATAAGCTCTAGCAGGAGTCCAGCCCTCTCCTAAAATCCCATTCTGGGATCTGTCCTTTCCTGGAGAACAGGGTCAATCAGGAGCTACCAGGCCAGCTGGACGCCAAGTGGCCACCCAACCTGTGTTTCCCTCTGCCCAACCTTCCCTTCTCTTCCTTTTGCCCCTGCCATCTCTGAGGCCTGGCATGAATGGAACTCAGCAGTTCAATTATATAACCTAAAAATGCAAAATTGAATACAAATAAAAACATGTTTGTTTGTTTGTTTTAAAGATTTATTTATGCTTACAGAACTGGGGTACAGGCCAGAGGTGCAAGGGTGGTGAAAGGATTCGCCAGAGACAGAGTAGAGAGCAGAACAGGCAGACTGATGAAATACATTGCTGAGGGGAGCAGCGGGCGGGTCAGGAGAGGTCTGCTGCGCCAAGTGGGTCAGCTACCTGGCCGGGGATTGAACTTGTGCTGCAGTGGCTTCGTAGAGCTTCATAATGAGGTGCTTTAACCTGTTGCGCCACCAGGGAGAGCCCATAAAAACATGTTTGATTTTACCACTATAATTTGAAGTTTATATATTTTTTAAACATTTATTTATGTATGCATACAGAATTGGAGTACAGGCCAGAGGTATGGGAGGTTAAGAGGACTCACCAGAGACAGAGTGGGGAGCAGAACAAGACTGACAAAATATACTGCTGAGGGGAGCAGAGAGGGAGACAGGAGAGGTCTGCTGTGCCATATGAGACATCCCTGGCTGGGGATGGAACTCCTGCTACAGTGTCTGCTGATAGCTTCATGGTGCTGAGACTTAACCCCTTGTGCCACCAGGAAGGCCCCTCCCAGCTTATTGAGATACAATGACACAGAGCATTGTATAAATCAAGTGGCACAGCACTTCTGTGCATTGTGAAATGATGAGCATAATAAATCTACTTAACAAAAAAAAGTCAAAAAATGTTTTCCTTGTGATGAAGGATAATTCTCAACAATAGTCACATATAGATTAATTTCTCACTGGTCCCTAGCAGTTACTACTTGAAGTTTTTTCTTCTTCCAGGTATTTTTCCAGGTTCATATGTGTGGATGAGACCCACCAGTTGGGGGAGGAGTGGAGGTTCATGAAATCCATTTAGCAGATCCAATATCAAAGATAAGTAAGTAGGGTCCTCCCTGGTGGCACGGGGGTGAAGTCTCAGCATTATTCAAGTTATCACCAGTCACTGCAGTATGAGTTCTGTCTTCGCCAGGGAGCTGCCCCACATGGTACAGCAGACCTCTCCAGGCCCGCCCGCTGCTCCCCTCAGCAGTGTACTTCGTCAATCTGCCCATTCTACCCCCCATTCTGTCTCTGGTGAATCCTCTCACACCTCCCACTTTAACACCTCTGGCTTAGACCCCAGTTCCTATATGCATAAATAAATAAAATAAATCTTTAAAAAATAAATATATAGGGCCTCCCTGGTGGCGCAAGGGGCTAAGTCTTAGCACTCTGAAGCCATCGCAGCCACTGCAGCACAAGGTGCAGCAGACCTCCCCCCCCCACCCGCCCGCTGCTCCCCTCAGCAGTGTGTTCCAGTAGATCCACCTGTTCTGCTCCCCACTCTGTCTCTGGTGAATCCTCTCTCTCACACACAGCCCCTCCGGCCTACACCCTAGTCTTATATGCAAAAATAAATAAACCCTTTTTAAAATAAATAAATGCACTAAGTGATTGTGTGTGTAACTGTAGTAAAGATAAGTATGTGCTGTCTGGTTAAAGTTTTACGTCAGGTGTGTTGTGTTAGCTGGGGTGTAAAATGTATTTCTTATTGTGGGTGAAGATGGTCAGACTAAGTCTTTAAGGAAACCTGCAATCACTTTGTCGCCAGAGTTTTTTTTTTTTAAGAGATCATTCTTTAAGTTTGACGTGCTAATACTATTTTTTTGTTTAATAGTAATGGAAGGAAGAGTGGGTGAGACTGATCTAGGGACACAGGGGCCCTCCCCCCCCTTCATTCTGCCCCTGTATATTTTTGCGGAAAGGATGGCACACCCTCACAGCTTCCCCCCCTTTTCCCAGAACCCCCGGGTCCTCCTACGGTGTCCTCTTTCTCTCTCATTGCCTTCCCGCTCCTGTCCTCCCTTCTCCCCTTCGCCTCTCCCGCCCCTCTCCTCCATTTCCTTCTCCTCCTGCGCGCTGGCCGGCTTCCCCCAGCCGGGGGCCCTGGCCCGAGACCCGACTCACCTGTCCCGACACTGGTCCCCGTAGCGGCCCGCTGGGCAGGGCAGCTCGCAGCGCGCGCCGCGGAAGCCGGGCGGACAGGTGCACTGGCCGGAGGCGGCGCTGCAGTGGCCGCGCACACACTCGCAAGGATTCTGGCACCTGGAGCCCCACCAGCCCGGCCGGCAGGCGCAGCGACCACTCTCCTGAGAGCACGGCGAGCCATTGCAGGTGCATTCGAAGCTGCAGCGGCGGCCCCACCAGCCCGGATCGCACAGGCAGGCGCCCGTGGCCGGGTCACAGCGCGACACCATCAGGTTGCACTGGCACGGGCGGAGGCACGTGGGCGACCACCAGCCGGGATCGCAGCGGCACGCGCCCGTCTCGGGGTTGCAATGCCCACGGGAGCCACAGGAGCAGGCGAACTCGCAGCGCTTGCCCCAGCGGCCAGCTTGGCAGTGGCACGCTCCGGTGGCCGGCTCGCACTGGCCATGTGGATGGCAGGCACAAGTCTCACGGCAGTCGGGGCCCCAGTACTGGCCCGGGCAGCCTGTGGGGGGAGGGGAGGAGCCGGGAAGAGGATTGGAGGGTGAAGGGAAGAGGTGAGGCCTAGGCACTGATGCCTGCCCCCTGCCCCTTTCTGCACCACAGAGGGGCACCAGGCCCACCCTCCAAAAACCAGGGACAGACCCTTGGAACAGCTGGTAGCCTATCCTCCTGGGGCACAGCTCTCTTCCTGCTGATCCTGTGATCTACACGACCCTCAGCAGTAGCCTGGCCTCCCACTTCACATTCCAGAATACACTCGAAGATCCTAGAGGGAAAGGGCTTGCCAAGAATCACATAGGGCTCTTCCCTGGGGTTGCAGTGGGTTAAAGCACAGCACTGGGAAGCTATCTGCAGCCACTGCAGCACAAGTTTGCTCCCCTGCTGGGGAGCTGACCCCCATGGCGCAGCTGACCTCTCCCGTCTCCCCACTGCAGTGCATTTCAGTCAATCTGCCTGTTCTTCTCCCCACTCTGTCTCTGGTGAATCCTCTCACCCCCTGCACCTCTGGCCTTATTCCAGAATTGTATGTATAAATCAATAAATATTTTAAAAAAATCATATAGATGTGGGTGGCTCTTCCCTTTCACTGGGCTCCCCCAAGGGCTGGGAGTCAGGTGTTGATGTTGCATGCATGCTGCCAGTCAGGATCTGCAGGACAAGACACATTTCCCCCGGGTGCCCCCCTTCACACAACTCCTTCTCATGTCCCTGTGCTAGAGAGGGAGACAGTCTAGCCAGAGACCTCCTTCCACACCTCACACATGGACAAGGTAGATGGGGAGACTGAGAAATAGATCTGTTTGCTACTGAACAGGGATCACTGGCGTTTTTTCTGAGAAGTTGCAAAGGAAGATGAAGGGGCCAGGACTGAACGAGTGGGTAGGGCTTTGTGGATATGGAGGAAAAACCAGATGACTCAGGGCATCTCCTAGAAGTGCGTCACTTCCCATCCCTGGGCCTCAATTTCCTCAGTGAAGCCCGGAAAGGACACTGCCCCTGCTGTTCTAAGATTGTATTCCTACCTGCTCTGCGCCCCACTCCCCCATCCTGCCCAGCAACTTTACCCTCCAGTGGAGACTCAGGACTCACGGGAGTTGCAGTGGGCACCGAAGAATCCAGGTTTGCACCGACAGAGGCCTGGTTTCACACATATCTCATCTTTTCGGCAGGCATCCAGGCCCTCACAGATGGCTGAAAAACACCCCACCCAGGTTGGAAGGACTGGGTGCCATCAAGAGGTGTTCTGTCTCTTTCTGGCTCCTAGTTCCCTTGGGACCAAGAGTGGGTACCACAGGGACCCCAGTACTAGCAGTGCTCAGGAGGGAAAAGAGGCCCCAAGAGAGTAGAAAGGAAGGGCACTGGGCTTTGTTCTCCCCTCTCCTCCACGGGGCCCATCTGACCACTCACGGATGGTGCATTCTTGATCTTTCTGCCTCCAGCCTGGGCAGCACTGGAGCTCAGCAGAGGTGCTGTGGGGCCGAGAGAGGTGAGCTGGGGGTGGGGTACAGCATGGCTCCACAGGTATGGATCACTGTCTCTGGCTGAGATGTGGCAGTTGCCTCAGCCCCACCAGGCAGGCCTAGCCAAGCATCCCAGCCCCAGTGTCCCCAACCTCTTTCCCTGGCTTTCCCACTATGTACCCTGACCAACAACACCCTCCAGATTCTTCCCAAGGGGCTCCCCAAGTCCATCCTCCCCTCAGTGCCGTGACAGCCTTTCCCCACATATGCTTACCCTCCAGTACCTCAACTTGGTTCAATCACTTTCCCATCAGAGTCCCACAGGACTCACCTTTTGGTCATGCAGACATGCTGCCCGTTGGGGTCCAACTTGGAGCCCTGGGTGCCCCCAGGCCAGAGTAGCAGCAGAAGCAGTATTCCCAGCCCCATGGCGGCCTGTGCAGCTGCAGCCGGGAGGGTTCGGGTTCCTCTGGCCCCCACTGATCCCAACCCCCTCCCTGTTTCCTCTCAAGGCTTTTCCTGAGGAAACCAGGCCCAAGGGGCGGGGTGCCATGAGGCACCTCCCTAAGAAGGTGGCACCAAAATGACCAAACACCACATAAATGAAAGGGAAGTCCAAGTCAGTGAGGAGGCCCCAAATGGGAGCTTTAAGAGCTGGTCTTAATCTAGAGGGGGCAAAATGAATGAAGCTGTAAATCCCAGGGTTTGGGGGGTGGATGAGGGGGTGGGGTAAGGGCCAGAGGCTTGGGGGGGCTATGTCATGCCATTAGGTCATACTCCTAAGGGAGGCCGGAGCTGGGAGAAGCCGCTCCCCAGCCAGCGCCAACCACAAAGGCAGATCTCAGCCTGCAGCTGCTCCGGCAGAGCTGGGTGGGGGTAGACCATGGACAGGCAAACACGAAGCAGCAACTGGGTGTCACAGGCAGTTGTTTATTACACCAGCTTAAGCCCCTCCAACCCCTGCAGACGGCAGTGAGCTCTCCATTTCTGACACCTGATCAGGAAGCACCTGATCAGAGGGGGCAGAGACATGGGGCAGGAAGGTGGCTGGGCCCCCTAACACACCCTGGCTCAGGTCAGCATTGGGAAGAGGCTGGGCTAGGAAGGAGGGAGCCCTGTCCTCACTGAAGGCCACATCTGCCCAAAGTCAGACCCCAGAGTCAGGCCTGGGGGGCAATGGAGACCCCCAGACAAATGTTCACTGTAAACCGAGCAGGGCTGGTCAAGAGTTGGGAGTTGCATGGCTGTCCACAGGCTGTGGGACATCCTCTTCTCTCCCTGGCACGCTGGGAGTTGTGCTGCAAGTCTTCTCTGCTTCACCATGATACCACAGGCCAAAGCTTGGGGGGAAGCCAAGAGGTACTCTGAGGCTCAAAGCCAGAGGGGAGGGGGATATTGGCTAAGGAAGGAAGTGGTGGGGAGGGCTATGGGAGGAAGAAAGGGCAGCTTGAAGCAGTGGGGAGGTGAGGGGCCAGGGCTGGAGAAGCAGGAGGAGAGGAACACTTAGCGCGCAGGGCAGCAAGGTGAGAGCCCCTGGCGGGGAAGTGCATGTGGAAAGAACCAAGGTAAGCCCCATGTCATCCCTCATCCCTGCCGCTCACGCCCACCTTCTTCCCCAACATACAAACTCTGTATCCTGGACTCGGGGGCTGGAGGGTGGTCTTCCTTATCACTGGAGATCAGGAGCCATGAGTCATCTTCATCATCACTGGGATAGAGAGAGGAGACATGAGGACCGTTTGGCCAGATTCTGAGGGGCAACAGGAGTCTGGCTTGTTTGGCTTATAGGCAGCCGTCAGGAGCAGGCTGAGGACAGCGTGAAGGCTGAAGAGACGGTGACCCTACCGAGGTGAAGGATACTTTGAAGGTTTTATCTTATAGCATGATAGACAACAGCCCCTGACAAGGCTGAAGCTGTAGTCTTACTCTTCTAAGAATGAACAGAACCAGGCAAACCAAGATGTAGCTTTGGGGAAGCTGTTTCCTCAGCAGGATAGACAGCAAGTATAGACAGCAGGATAGACAAGTGGGAGCAGTGCCATCCAGAGAGAAGGGTGACTGGCTCGGAACAGCAAACTGGACAGCCGGCTTTGGGGGTGACCAGCCCAGACTGGCAGGCCCACAGGGTGATCAAGCTAGAATGTGAGGTTGGATCAAGCCAGAGTGGGCTGGAGAGCAGGCAAGGGGTGCCAAGTTGGAATGATGAGGCCAGAGTGGTTGGCACAGCAGCCTCAGAGTGACCAAGCCAAAGCCGGGCAGGCTGGACAGCAAGCTGTAGGGGTGACCATTTAGAGTGGCAGGCTTAGACAGGTACCAGGTTCAGGCAGCCACTAGGCCAGATGAGCAGGTTCAGGAAGTGACCAGGGAGGCAGGTTCAAAGGGGGGCCTAGGCTGGAGTAACAGATTCAGTCTGACACAACAGACTGAAGATGAGCAGGCTGGGTCAGCAGGCTCAGTGGGGTGACCAGTTTAGATCAGCAGATGGCCGGACTGGGTTAGCCAAGACCAGGCTGGGTCAGCTGGCTCAGCGGAATGAGAGAGGAGGGCTGGCTCGCAGGGTGATAAAGGCAGAGACTTACCTGCTCTCGGCTTCCTCTGGGGTCCCTAACATCTTGGCCTTGATCTTCTTCCGCTGCTTCTTAACAGCCACCTTCATGGCTTCAAGTAGAAGTCCAGGGACCCGGTGATCTGTGAGTAGCTCCCTATAGAGAAAGAGGAGTAGAGGAAGTACTGGGGACGCCACAAGAGGTTTCACCCCCACAACCTGTACATGCTGTGCCCTCCTTTTTTAAACACTGTCTTGCTGACACTCTTCAGCCCTTTGCTACGGTGTCATCCCCTCCGAGGAATATTTCCTTGACCTCTACTGCTGTGTCCCTTTGCACTGTCTCTCTCCCCCCTTTTTGGATGAAGTTCCAGGAGGGTTGTCTGATTCATGTCCTCCCAAAGCCCGGTGCAGATGCTGGCGCATGTCACTGTGGATAAATAAATGAACCAGCGAATAGGATGGGTGGCCTGAGGCTCAGAAGCATGTGTGAAGTCCCTTGGCTTCCCGGCCACTGTGGAAGACCTCACCGCTGGAAGTAGGCCAGCTCCTCCTTCAGTAGGAACACATTGGCTTTGAGCTCATTCCGCTCCTGAAGGACCTGCTGAAGCTCCTTTCGACTGAAGTCGCACTGCACTGCCTTGGAGGGGCACTCTGGCTGCTGGGCCCCCACCTGCAGAAGGACAGACTTGGGTGGCCTCTTGGCGCTCAGCTGCCTGCAGGCCATCACAGAAACTAGAGGCAGTTCCTGGAAGGGAGACTGGGGGGGCAAGGGTGCTGTAGTGGATCAGTAATTGGGTTAAGAGTAGGGGTAGATGTTTATTGCTGCTTTATTTACAATTGGAAAAACATGGAAGCAGCCCAAATGCCCAAAAGTAGATGACTGGATTAGAAAGATGTGGTACATATATACAATGGAATATTACTCAGCAACCAAAAAAGAGAAACACATGTCTTTTGCAGCAACTTGGATGGAGCTGGAAAAGATCATGCTTCGTGAGATAAGCAGAAAGAGAAAGATAAATACCAGATAGTTTCACTCATAGCAGGAGTATAATGGCCCAGGTGGAAAATAACAAAAATAATGAACAACCATATACCAGAGACATTTTGCCGGGGTGGAGTGGGGAATAGGATCAAAAATGGGGTGGGGGGAGGGAAATGCACGGGATTATGGTGATGGCACATGGGTGACTTGGTGATGGGAAACCCGCGGGGATTACAACTGAGATGGAAAAAAATGTACAAAATGATGTAAAAGTAAACTTTTGTAAAAAAAAAAAAAGAGTAGGGGTAGACCTGGGTTGGGAGCTTAAACTTGCTTCAAAAGAGAGCAAACCTTTCCGAACGCCTAGTGACAGACGCTGTGAATACTGGGATGAGTCCCTGACCTCATCCTCGTCGGGCACTCACCAGGTCTTCAGGGGATCGAGGGCTTCCAGTGGCGGCGGATTCGAATTCACACCCCGGCCCCGGAGCCCCTCGGCACAGCCGCGCGAGTAGCTCCCTCTCGCGGTCACGCGCGGAGCGCAGCTGGATTTCCAGGGCCGCCAGTTTGTGCCGCAACTCGGCATTCACCAGCAGGAGGCGCTGCAGCTGCTCCTGCAGCTGGGGGCGGAGCAAAGGGCGGGCTGGTGGGCGGGGCGCCGAGGGCCCGCGGGCACCCCGCCTGGCGCCCCACTCGGTCTGCCCTGCGCTCACCGCCTCTGTCTCCTGGCTCCGCTGCAGCAGATCACGGCTGTGCGCCCGGAGTTCGTCCCGCTGTCGGTCGGTCACCTCCTTGAGCCGCCGCAGCAGAGCGCGCTCCTCTGAGGAAGGGTGGAACTCAGCGGAGGGAGCCGGCCCCCCACCCGCTGCATCCTGGCGGGGCCTGCACTCACCCTGTGGCCCGCAGCGCAGCTCCCTGCGGAGGTGCTCGTTTTCCTCGCGCAGACGCCGCAGCTCCGCCTCGGCCTGCTGCGCCGACACCTGCAGCTGGGGAGTCCATGCCCTCAAGGTCAGGTCCCTAGCGGCTCCACTAGTGGCTGGAGAGGGGGCCGTGGCTCACCGAGTCTGGGGCGGGCCCCACGGCAGCCTTCTCCAGAAACTCCAGCGCCCTCACCACCAGCGGCACCAGCCCGGCAGCCGCCTCTGGTCCGAAACGGCGCGCCAGCTCTTGCAGCTCAGTGCCCAGGGCCCCCGCTAGGTGGTACACAAGCTCCGCGGCCGTCCCTGACCCCGTCGCCACTCGGGACCCCAGGCCCTGCGCCCCAGGAGCCACCCTTGTGGGCTCCATGACCCCCGAAAGCCTAGGGCTGCGACAACCCCCGCCCGCGCCCGCGCCCCCGCCCCCAACCCTCCAGGGATTGGAAAAAAAAACCGCACAGTTCCGGCCCAGGAAGCAGTTTAGGACAGAAGGCGGGGTAAAGCCACGTGGGAGGGGCGACTAGGCAAAAGGCCGGGCTAGACCGCGCCCTCGGCCTCCTGGGGCCAGTCCCGCTCAAGCCTCCAAGGTCACAGGAAATAGGACCGTAAACTTCCAGCCAGATAGCCATGAGCTGAGGTTCAGGGCTGTAAGTGGTCACTTGCACCGGGCCCTCCCCAAACAGTGCCCAATCAGGCGCCACCCGTGGCCGTAGTCATGGGCACCATTTGGCTGGGAAGTGAGTGAGGGGAAAGGTGAGAGGTAGGCAGGCCTCTGCTACTGCCCCCTCAAAGACAGTCAGCTTACCCAGCTGTGTGCCTGTTTGCCTCCCAGAAGTGCCACCGAACTTAAAGGGCTAGGCTGGGAGCCACAAAACAAGCCTCGGAACTTCCAAGACTCACAGAAACCAAAAACCAAAACCAACTGGCAAATGCTGCAAGATATTTCCCTCCAGTATGATGGAGGGAAACTAGCAGATGAGGTAAGATAGTTAAGTGTGGGACCTCCCTGATCGCCAGCCGTTAACGCTGTTGCCAGCCACTGCAACATAAATTCAATCTCAAATTCAATTCCCAGGCAGGGAGCTGACCCACAGGGCACCGCAGACCTTCTGCAGACCTTCTCCGGTCTCGCCCACTGCTCCCCTCAGCAGGGTATTTCAGTAGCTCTGCCTGTGCTGCTCCCTACTCTGTCTCTGGTGAATCCCCTGCACCTCTGGCCTACACCCTGGTTCTTGTATGCATACAGAAAATAAATCTTAAAAAAAAAAGTAATAGTTGATGCCCATGCCCCTGCAGGTCCCTAAATCTAGGGGCTATTTTGCCCCTCTCAAGAATGAATCTAGCATCTTACTAAGTACAGCCTCCTGCCATCCCTACAACCAGTATTTGAACCCCGGGGGAGGAAAAAAACTGAAATACTTGTATTTATACAAAATTTATTATTACTTTGTTTAGGGTTACAAGATACAAGGTCAACACAAGCACAAAACAGGAAAAAGGGCCACGGTGCTGAATGTCACCAGCTTGTCTGAGGGGAGCAAGGGGCTCCAGCCTTCAGGAGTCTGAAGCAGAACTAGGCATAGAGGTCCTCCCGGTCTGCAGAGTAAACCTCTCCCTCCTGCAGGAGGGCGAAGTTGAGGAAGTGGGAGGGCCTGTGCACCTCGTGGTAGAACTCTTTGGGGTTAGCCAGCTGCAGTTCATACTTCATATTGGGATCATGCCGAACACCTTGGGGTGGGAAGAAACATCCAACGTTAAGTCTACTTGCCTCACCCAGTCTGGGCCCCTGGGTATCTCTGCACCCAAAGTGCTCAATCAAGGTGATGGTCTAATAACCCCATCCCCACTTTTGTTCACCACTTACCCATAAAGTTGTAGTTCCACGAGGACTGAGCAGGAACCATGAAGAAACCAAGAAAGCGGTCTGACAACAACATCTGGACCCTCTCATAGTGCGAGGGGAGGTAGCCCTTGGGGTTGTTGCCTTTGTCTGTGTTCTGGCGGCCCCATTCATAGCCACTAGGGGTTAGCTTGTAGGCTGTCAGAGTGCAGGAGCCAGGGGTGAAGCTAGAAAAGAAATGAGGGCAGTCAGCTCACAAGACCATCTGGGCCTTGTCCTATAATGTATACCCCAATATACCTGCTCCCAACTGGGCCAAAACCCACCTGCAGGTGATGATAATGGTCTTCTCACCATCCCAAGATGGGTTATCAGCCATGATCTTGGCATGGGTGGTGACATCCTGGGGTGACAGCTGGGGGGACTCATTGGGTTGAGTGTGGATCCAACCTAAGGGTTCCATCTCCTATAAGCAAAAATGAGTGAAAAGCTACTTAGTGCCCTATCTGTAGACTGGGCACCCTGAGAGTAACACACCCATTACCACCACCAAGTACCCATTGTCCCTAAGCTCCATCACAATCACTGACCTTGAGGTACTCATGCTGAGGCAGCTGGCCAGGCAGGTGCACAGTCTGGTGAGTGCCCCACTGTGGTACCATGACGATGCAGCGAATCTCCTTCACCTGGGGGTTATCTGGTGGACTCACGCCATATAGGTATCCTGCAATCTAGATGCAAGGGAGTCAAGAACCAAAATAATTGTCAGTACCAGTCCAACTTGAGCTGCCAGTTGTTTCTTTTCTTTCCAAGAAAGCAAGGACAGAATTCCTCAAAGTGTAAGCATCATCGCCTGGGGCACTTTTTCCAAATGTCAAACATGGACTTCATATCTCAGTCTTACATCAGAATCTCAAGTGAAGTCCTGGAATCGGCAGTGCTCACAGGCTCCCCAGCTGATTGTAGTATCCATAAACAAATAAGCATATCGCTCAATGAATTTTCACAATTTATATATTTATATGTAAAACTCACACAGGTGATAAGCAAGCTTAAATTCTTGAGCTTACTTGGGGGTCCTCCCTGGTGGCACAGTGGGTTAAAGCATAGCACTATGAAGCTGTCACAGCCACTGTGCACAAGTTTGATTCTAGTCCAGGGAGCTGATCCACATGGCACAGCAGACCTCTCCTGACCCATCTGCTGCTCCCCTCAGCAGTGTATTTCATCAGTCTGCCTGTTCTGGTTCCCCCCTTGTCTCTGATGCATCCTTTCACTCCCCACAACTCTGGCTAGTTCTTGTATGTATAAATAAATCTCTAAAAAAAAAATTCTTAAGCTTACAAATTGGTATTTTAAATAATATGAATTTCTCACACTAGAAGTAAAGCATCTTCTCATACAATATTTGCCAGTCCCCCCCCCACCGTTTTTTTAAGACTTATTTTGTTTATTTAAGCATATAAGAACTGGGGTGTAGGCCAGAGATGCATGGGGTGAGAAGATTCACCCATGACAGAGGAAAGAACAGGCAAATCTACTGATAAATACTGCTGAAGGGAGCAGCAGCCAAGACAGGAGAGGTCTGCTACGCCATGTGGGTCACCTCCCGGGCTGGGGATAGAATTCCTGCAGCAGTGGCTAGCCAAGAGCTTGATAGTTTTGAGACGTTAACCCCTGCACCACAAGGGAGGCCCCACATAAAGCATCCTTAACCTCAAATTTGATACACCACATTTATTATATACACATGACCTGATTTCTAACTATTAGCTAGGTCCTTTTCAGTAACTTTTAGAGTCAAACTTTATCATTCTTCTAATTGCCATAGGTTTACAGTATGTCTTGACATCTTTAAGGGCCAAAACCATCCTCTTGTTTTCACTATCCCTGTCTATTTTCTCATACATAAATCTTAAAACCAAATCTCAAGGTCCCGAAATCTCAGCTGAGTTACATACACAAAAACATTGGGCACACATTGTGACCTAGCTGAGCAAGCTTACTCACTTGGGCCCGAAGGTCAGATATGCAGATAAATTTCTTAAGTACATTCTTAGGCAGAATGTAAGTGTAACCAGTCTCCTTGATGTCATCAGATGAAACATAGATGTGATTAGTCCTCAGGTGCAGATTGGCAGCAGAGATAGCCCTAAAATTCAGTAAGTAATGTCAGTATTGCTTAACCACAGCACCTTAGGTAACACCAGTAGGTCTTCCCATTCCTACCCCTCTCTCCCTTTACCATACCTGACCCTCCACTCAGTCTTCGATGAGAAAGTCTGGGTCTCGTAATTACTGGTAGTGGAGGTGATGATCTCATCTCCGTGCTTGTTGACAGTACGAGTCTGAGTGGCAGTCAACTGTGACTGTTCCTTGGTCTGCTTCTCAATCTCGGCTATCTGCTGCCGCTGCTGTGATGGCGCTGAGATCTCCATACCCAGGATGATGTCTCGAATTTCTGACTGTGTCAGTGATGCTACATTCACACTGCAGAACAAGGGAGGGTCACACCACAAGAATCCCTTCCCCGTGGGTCACATATGCCTCAATGGCAAGAGTGGGACTCAGTGCGGGAGGCAAGCCCCATACTTTTGCCTCAGATTATCCTCAACTGATACTCACATAAAGTGGTGATGTACCAATAAGGGCAAAGCTGCCACCTCCCAGGATGGCCTATGCATGTGTACCTTTAGTCATGCTCAAATCTGCTCAGCACCAATCCCTCCACTTTTCCTTAACACAAAATGCCCTGGCACAGGACAGGCAAAACCCCCAAATAGCAGAGTTGGTACTGTCAGTCACCGTAGGGAGTACTAGGAAATCTTTGTTTTCATAATGATAGAAAGGGTTGTGTCTGCATGCATGTGAGTGTGGTATTAGCAGTAGTATGTACAAGTTTGGATGCTATAACTTCCTGTGATGCATTAACAGTAAAGAAATACCCTGCTCAAAATGACAATTTTTAGGACAACTTTCTAACAAACATCTGACCATGAATATTAAAAAAAAATTAACAAAAACAAACCACACACAGAAAGGACCCTCCATGGTAGCACAATGGGTTAAAACCAGCACAATGAAGCTATCCACAGCCACTTCAGTGTTTGATCCCCAACCCTGGCCCCAGAGTCCACATGCCGCAGCAGACCTCTCCTGACACACCCGCTGCTCCCCTCAGCAGTGTACTTCATCAGTCTGCCTGTTCTGTTCCCCACTCTGTCTCTGGTGAATCCTCTCACCGCCCCTGCACCTTGCCTGCACCCCAGATCTGTATGCATAAATAAGTAAATCTTCCAAAAAAAAACAACCAAAAACCAGAGACTGAACCACTCATTTTGCCCTTAGATCTATCTCCCCACCACCACTGCTCACTTGTTTTTCTTGCCATAGTCAGCCAAGATAAGGTCCTTGAGCTGCACCTCCACCTTGATCCATTCCTCATCCGTCAGAGTGGGCCAGATGTGGTGTGGTTCAGTAATGGTGGTCTTGTCTGGCTTTAGGATCACCTTTGCCCGGTCATTGTTTAC